TCATCCTAGATCACATGTGACAAAGGACTGATAGCTGAATTTTCCCCAAAAGATATGAGTAGACCTGATGTCAATTAATCTTACTTAGCCTTGTTTGCAAAAAGGTATTCTTATCAAAGATGGATTACAGTTTCAACCTCGACAGGGCCTCATCAGGGCCCTCAGAGAAAAAATGGTAGTAAAATGTTGAAGTCCATTGCAGTGGCGAATTAATGGCATGCGGACAATAAACTCTTCACTACCCGGGTGATATTCACGTTGGGGATGATGATGAAAGTAAGGCGAGGTAGAAAATGCCATTAATGCAGGACTATTAGACCTTTTAGAAGGTAAGACTAGGTGAAATTCATTGGCAGTGTAGGGCATACTCATATCATCGTAGACAAATTCGACTATCAGTCGATTTCTTCATGCGGCCTAAGTAAACAATAACTCATTCAAGATCTTCAAAGTCTCAAAACGTACATACTAGAATTATTTTCGGAAGGTTCGGAAATACAAGTTGGATAAGAAATATAAACCTGTGAGGAAGAAGTGAAATTTTATTACTTCATATTTCAGAAACAAAACAAAGAATGAAAATGAAACAAACTGGATGTTAAGCAAGTATTTTTGTCGTCTCAAAGAGATGACAATAATTAAATAAAGCGTCGGAATATCAAGATTTGAAAGTAGTTAGTGACTGGTCTTTATGATAATTCGAACAGACCTATTTAAGTGGTTTGAACTGTTTACGCAATCCTGTAGCGTGATCACAGCGACCCAGTTAAACACACTTTATTTGAATTCCTCTGCTATAGTAGCCAGGATAATTTCCAGAGTTGATTCCCAGACGCTTCGTCAAAAACGTTAGTAAATACTGCCATTCATATTATCAAGCTCCAACTCGTCAAAAAGACAAGTTTAGTGCTAAGAGTGATAATAATAACTGACGATGACGACTATGATGTCAACGAAAAGTTCACGGTCCGACTTTTCATGAATACCATGGACGTTGCGAAAACTATATCAAACCGAATCTATGCAGCGAAGTTAAACTGCTGCCAAAACAGAGACTATGATATCTTGGTATCATATCTACGACTAGACCTTTATGAAATTATTAATTATAAAAAAGAAAGCTTTAGCATGAATTCAACCAAAATTTAATAGATGGTATCCACTCACTTCGCCTTTTTGCAGAGACGTACGAAGTTAAAAAGGCCAAAGTCACCAATAACGGCCTTCGAGTTAGCCTCAATGAAAATATTACGCGTCTTCAAGTCCCGATGAACAATACCTTTGGCGTGCAGATAGCCCATTCCTTTGGCGATTTGGCTAGCAATATTAATGGCTCTGTTGACAGCCAATGAGATGCGACGTAAGTGAAGCTGGTAGTAGAGTGTTTCACCCTATTAAAAATAGGAAACTTAGATAAATATGAGAAGAGCACTTTTGGAAAATAGATTTAGCCATTCTAGATTTAATCCAAAAATCTTTTATAAAGCATGAGGTATCTCTTAATCAAAGTATTTCCTGTTTCTACGTAGACAAAAAAGCTTCATGCAACAATCGAACAATTTAGTTTGCCCATCCCCTACTGCGAATGGTAAGCTTGTCTTTTACTTTAGGACCAACTGAAGATTCTGATTATGATAAAAATAAGAGTAAGCATAGGGATGGAGGCTGTTGATATTCTAGGTAAATGAATCTAATAAACGAGAGGCTAAAGGGAAACAGAATTAGCAAAAACTTGGTTCAATGCTAAGGCAAACTTAGAGGAAACCAGAAATCCGCAAGATTTGCAAAAAGAAGATGCCTGGATTAAGAATGTATTTCGGAGAGAAATAAAAAGAATCATATAGAAGAGGCTCTTGATTGATAATTGGAAGTCAAGACGATTAAATTGAGTCTATTGAAACCAAGTAAACATACATAAAATTTTGAGTTAACATGAAGAGCAGCGGTAAACCATAGGTTTCAGTGGTCTTGCATCCTTTTTGGTAAAGAAATCATCGTCCACTTGTCAATTTTACAGTGAATCCTTCTAGCATATCCTCTAGTGCTCCTTAGTTTCATTGTTAAGTCCACATCAAGTACTTGATAAATGACTCTATGCTTACAATTTTCTGAATGTACTGTTTCCTAATCAAGATAAATTCACTACTCTATTCCCATTGGCATTCGGATCCCAGGGTGATTTCGATATTTAAGCCATACTATTTGAGCTGGTTGGTTAGAGCTTGTGCAATCTTCGCGTCCTATATCTAAAAAATTTATTATCTTGTTTTTTTAATTATCAAGTTCAAAATCCTTTGTGACTTATTTTCGGTCAAAATCTGGAGTTTATGGAAAACTTGAGAAGTATGAGTCCGATCAAGGTCCAGCCCAAACTTAGAATCAATAAACGTAAACAATTTATTTCTCTCCTAATCGAATATTTCCTCCAATTTTGGTTGAAAACATGATCAGGAACACTATTAACAATAAAAACTGTTTTC